TATTTTTATGGCTGGAAATGAACCAGAGAACTGCAAAAATACAGACTTGCTTATTTAGCTCTGCATCCTGAAGATGCGCTACCTCCCGTCTCTCTCAAGCTCCGGGGGGGCCATCTGTATTTCCTTGCACCAGAATCTTCCTCTCCGACAGGGGCTTGGGGTTACTTGCAACTCTGTGTCTTTCTGGTCAAGTCTCTGGTCCTCTCTTCACCTCCCAGATGCTGTCATACTGTCTCATTTCTGTCCTTGCGTCTTCCCCCTATCTTCCTCCTTAGAAACCTCTAGTCTTTGAGCTGAAGCTGCCTGTTCATTCCCCTCCTTCCTGAAGGGACCCTCATAGGTCAAGGGTATTGGGTGGGCATATTTAGCTCTCTTTGAAGTGGCTTGGGTTCTTTTGGGGAAGGAGTTGGTGGGATGGGAAACTCTAGCAGACATCTTTTGGTTCTGCCACAATTGTCAAGTCCTAGTATATTTCCATGTTTTAATCATTTCCATCATTCTTTTCAGACTCCAACATAAAGACGTTTTCCTGGTTTGATTTATTTTCAAACTTAAAACGCTAAGGCCAGGAGCATTGACCCGTGCCTGTAATCCCATTGGCTCAGGAGGCAGAGGCAGGAAGATTGCCAATTCAAAGCTAGCCTCAGCAACAGTGAGGTGCTAAGCAACTCAGTGAGATCCTGTCTCTAAATAAAATACTAAATAGGGCTGGGGATGTGGCTCAGTGGTCAAATGCCCCTGAGTTCAATCTCCTGTGCATCCTGCCCCCCCCCCAAATGCTAAGGACTGAGGAAAACTGAACCATGATTGGATTCTGCAGGGTTCTGTGTTATCCTGTGACTCCACATTAATTGGCACTGGCCACCTGACAGGCATGGGGTAGGCATTGAGGACAAAGAAGTGGATTTAACAGCTTCCTACCCTTGGGAGCTCAGAGTCTAGTTGTGAAGCCTACCCTTGTGGCATGGGGAGTGCCACACAAAGTGATATGGGCCTGCCGAGGAGGGGGCTGAATTTGACCTGGGTGGAGATGGAGTAGCAGAGTCTTCCTGGTTAGATGGATCATAAAGTTCACAATCAAGATGTGTCTAGGAGATAGAAAGGAAATGGTAGGAAAAGCAAGGGATCATGAGAATATTGATATGTTTAGAAATCCAAGGGCAGTCGGACCTAGGTAGACGCAGTAGAGGGGACAGAGTGAGGGGGAGAGGAGAGCAGGGTGTCCTTTTGAAATGCTTCCTTGAGAGCCATGAGTGACATGTGAATTTTGGACCTTGTCAATGAGAATCACTGGTCTCTACCACCCACCCCGTCCCTTCACCACAACTTTTCTGTAGGAGGTTCCTGGTGGATCCCCCATCTCACTGGGATACGCCTTGAGAGACTCGCATGAGTCTGTGTTTTAGAAAGATCCCTCAGCCTGCAAGCGGAGGACACGTGGGAATATCAAGAGACCAGTCACCCGGACATGCCCTGGGAGGATTTCATGATTATCCAGGTGAGAACGCTCAGGAGTCTGCAACTGCCCTGCCACACCCAGTGACATGTGCTTCACCTGGTGTCCATGAAGCCTGGCTTGACTCCTACGCTCTGCGGTCACTCATCACCTCCCTTCCCAGAACTCATCTGCACCTTGTTTAGAGAGGCCTTGACCTGGATTGCACCATCCATACTCCCAGGGCACTCCCCCAGGATGCACATGCCAAAGAAATGGAAGCCTGGGTGAGGTACAGCCTCAGGCCACCGGTGGAGGAGACACTTAGAGGGAAACAGAGGTTCTCTGTGGCTCAGCTGAGTTGGGGTGGGCTTACCACTTTCTTAATATCTAGTGTAGTTCTTATTACCAATCAGTCTCCTTGGAGTAAATGGACCCAAGGGGCTAGGGAGGCTTGCCCATGTTAACATGAACCCCAAGGTTCCCTGCTCCTGGCACGGGATGGCTTCTGACATGTTTCTGCAGGCCTTCAGCTGCACCTCAGTGGGTTCCTATATTATTTCACCGGGCAAAATGTCTGCCAGTGTCATCCCGAGGAGTGTGGAAGCCCTGGAAGTACATACTCTGCAGGATCCCTCCTCCCACAGACCAAATAATAGCTGAGGAAACAAGCCACCTACCTGCCGCCAGGTGCTCTGAAGGAATTTATGTGAGAAAAGACCAGGAAACCACCCTCCTTTAGGGAATGAGAAATAAAAAAGGAAGATGTCCAACTGTGCAAGACAGGGACCAAATAGGTGAAGAATTAGTGCATCACAGAATTTTTTGAGGAAAAGGAAAGAGCTTCAACCCTTTTTAAAGGCGGCAACCCCAGCCCTAGCCTCTGGATTTTGCTTCCAAGGGTGTAGAACAGAGTTTGCCTGAATGTTCTAGGTTTGGGCATAAAACAAGATCTCCCAACACCTTTGGGAAAGCCGGAGTGGAACAATGCTAAGTAATTTAATCAACTTCAATCCTTCTCGGCATCTTACTAGTGTCGACTGTGACTCTCCAAGAGAACACAAAGACATGGACAATCTATTTCCCATTCTCAGTTAACCAAGGGACCACCCAACTCCTTGCTGTTGTGGCTGTTTTTCTGCTGGCAAAAGAAAACTTAGCTGGGCCCAGCCTTGTCTGGAATCCATTCCCAGGGCAGCTAGACTTTACATCCTTTGCTTTGGAGGAATTTATAACTGGGGACAACCATGTCCAGGTTTGTTTAGGGCAGTCCTTAAATATATGGGTTCTCCCAGTATAATCGTAATAGATTACCTTCTTTTTCCTATCAAAAATGTCCTGGTTTGGGGACTAAATTATGTGATCCTGACCATAGTTCATTATAGACTCCAGGTCCCAGACACTTGGCATTTTGAAACCCAAAGGGCAACTAGCTCATTGTCAGATTTTGATTCTGCCTATAACACAGTCTGATGTCATCCTGTGACTCATCACTTACTCTCTGACAATCTCTAATATTTTCAACTGAGACCTGAATTCTTTTCTCTTTATTCAGCCACCATATTCAGCCTGGCAAAATGTCTCACCGTCTCAAAAATCCTTCCGCAAAAGGGTTGAGAGAGCACCAATGATCCTAAGAAACGCAGACCCTTATGTGGTAGGTGTCTCTTCCAGCATTTCTGAACTTTGCTGGCTTGAACCAACTGGTTCTGCATCTGCTGGTCCATTGCTGAATTGTTGCTGGGTCTTCTTTCTCCTTGTTCTCTTATCTTCCTGTATTCCTGCAGAGAAAACAGCCACCTTTCTGCTGCCAGGTACTCTGAAGGAATTTGTGTTAGAAAATAACCAGGAAACCACCCTCCTTTAGGGCATGAGAAATAAAAAAGGAAGATGGCCAAATGTGTAGACAGGGACCAAATAGGTGAAGAATTAGTGTACCACAGAATTTTTTGAGGAAAAGGAAAGAGCTAGAACCTTTTTTAAAGGATAATTAATAGTCCATAGGATTTGATATCAGCTTTTATTCACTTTTTTGATGTTTCTGTTAATAAATTCATTTTTCAAAATGTAGTCTTTAGAGCTGGGCAGGTGGTGCATGCCTGTAATCCCAGTGACTCAGGAGGCTGAGACAGGAGAAAAGCAAGTTCAAAGCCAGCCTCAATGGTGAGAAGCTAAGCAACTCAGTGAGACCCTGTCTCTAGGTAAAATACAAAATAGGGCTGTGGCTGTGGCTCAGTGGTTGAGTGCCCCTGAGTTCAATCTCTGGTACTTCCCCCATCCCACCCCTGCCCCAAAATGTAATCCTTAGGATTAAAGAATTCTTTAGTTGGAGACTCAAAGTGCAAAGATTTATTGCAGAAACGCTTTCCTTTTTCATTTGACAAGAGCGAACAGTGAGAATTTTCTTTAATATTTGCAAAAATCTTAAGAAAAACAAAATCTACCCCCCCACAAAAAGAAAACACACACACACACACACACAAACCAAACAGGAGTTAGAAACACAAGAGGAAACTAATGCTCAGGCATTTGGGGTCTGTTTTGTTATGGACTCTTTTGGATGTAAGTCCTACATACCTGATTTTTTTATCTGGTTGTAAATGTCCCAAGTAATAGGTTTTCCACTGTTTCTTCATGGATACTTTGTTAATGTCCTTACATACATCTGGGACAGACTCTTAAGTCCCTCTCTGCCTTTCTTCAAACAAATAAATGAACTATTTTGCCTTTTACATTTAATCTTTAAAAAAAATATTCTTCAAATTCTAGGTCTTGAAAAACTTTCTTGATTAATCATTTTGTATATCTTCTAGCTCTTTCTGCAGCTGTCTCCCCAATTTTGTAGTTTTGCTTTGCCTTCTTTTGAGGAGATGAAAGAAACTTTCTCTTTTTCCTCTCTTTACTTTTCTTCCTTCTCTCTCTCCAGGGATTGAACCCAGGTATGCTTAACCACTAAGCCATATCCCCAGCTCTTTTGATCTTTTTACATTTTATTTAGAGACAGGATGTCACTGAGTTGCTTAGGGCCTAAAATGCTGAGGCTGGCTTTGAACTTGTGATCCTACTGCCTCAGCTTCCCAAATTGCTGGGATTACAGGGGTGTGTCACTGTGTTTGGCTTCCTCTTCACTCTTTTGAGAGAGTGGGGTTGCTTAGCTTTAACACTATCATCTAAGCTTCTGATGTACACATGTGGCTGGTAGTTTCAAATGGGCCTTTAATACAACAGTTTTCGGCTCACTGGCCTGAGGTAGAATCTTCATGATTGTAAACCAAACTTAAACCAAATCAGAACCCACTGCCACAGTACAGCCAAGGGGGTTGAAGCACATTGGCTTAATTTGATTGAGCTCCCTCTGATTCTCAAGAGACAAGTAGCGTTTCTTTCTTCCTATGTCTTGTTTAAAAATCATACCTATCTACCTACTCCCCACACACTTACACGCATATCAGTATTTCATTTCAGATTGTGTTTCAAAAGATGCTTTAACTCCAGGATGTAAACCATGACTGAAAAAAAAAATTAAGAGAAATTTATATTCATAGACATGAAAATCACACCTTCATTCCACAAGCTCTACCTTATTTTGTTGACTTTATTTTTAGAGGGGAGGGCATTTAATTTAAAAATTCTCATTTTCTTTCCTTTCTTGCCCTTTCCCCTCCCCTGGCCCTGCATGGTCTCCCAGGACCAGGAAGTTGATATGTAAACAGAAGCGGTACTCAGACCCCTGACCTCAGGGCTTTCGATCCAGTACTTCCACAGAGGGATTAACCTCCAATACCCACTTGCTCTCTGAGCGAAATTGTTCCCGAGGTGGGTACCACCAAAGCGTTTTCTTCTTTATGGGTTTTCACATTCACCCGCAAATCAAGTCTCCTCAAAGGAAGGCATACAGGGCGAAAGCGAAGTGCTGCAGCTGGGAGGGACACCGTGCCTTCTGGTCCCTCAAGCCACTTACTCTGTCCTCCCCCACCCCCAGTGGACAACCTTCCAGATCCAGGAGTGGGATGGGAAAGGGCCATGTGGCATGGTCTAACAATACACTCTGTGTGTTGTGTGTGTGTGACCATCTTTGGTTGTGCCCACGGGTATCCTGTGACTGCTGGTCCTCACCCAGGCAGCCCATGGCATCTCAGGGGTGCTGTGAGGGAGGGAGGGTGGGGCCTGGTATTTCCCTCTCAGGGGAGACAGGAGCAATAGCACAGGCTCTTAGAATCACAGCTGTCTGCCTACCACGGGGAACTTTTGCTAGTCCTTCTGTTTTATTCTTCTCTGCGGGTCTTATAATGTCCACTCAGGAGGGAACACTTTGAACCTGGCATAAAGCTCTGGGCTGGATTCCAAGTCAGTCTAAAAACAGTCAGAGCTACCCTGGTCTTCAGCTTGCTGTGCACTGTTGAGAGAGTGGGTCTCACTTCTGCTGTCCCCCACCAGCTTTGGGTCCTCATGGTTGCCTGAACAGCCCAGCTCCAAACCAAGGCACCAACAAGACCAGGAGATTTTTCTTATGACAGAACATCCTCTCCCCATCTGGACCCCCAGCAATTTCTCACCAGTGAGACAAAGTATCTGCATTTTAAAAACTCCATGTAGCATGTCCAGAAATTTCTCATGGTATTAAGAAGGAGGTGGGGGTGGGGAAAGGGCCCAATGAGGCTACTTACTTAATAGCTCCTAACAGCTGTGGAAAGTTTGATGCAGCAGGGGCACCCAGACAGAAATTAAAAAACTAATAAAGTCCTCAGTGTGGGGGCGCTGGCATCAGGACAGCTCTGCTTCTCCAGACACCTAATAAAGAGACATTCCGGGACACTAACTCATAAGGGAAATCTGCAGGGGTCACCAAGAACAGTGGAAAGTGAGCCATGGAAACATAGCAGTCACTCGAACGGCTGTAGAGAAGGTTTGGTTGCTCCCTCCTCCGCTTTGCAGTTTAGAGAAATAGGAGGGTGCTCAGGACCAAAGGAAAGGCCAGGAAGTGAGGGTTGATTCCGGGGTCCTTGATGTAGAAACCTCACTTTCATAGGCTGTGTGAGCATGAGGCTGAAGCTTGACACTTCTGGCATTGGAAGGACGGGAGGTGATGGTCACTACAGAGGATGTTGCGATTGGAAGTTGGTGTGGCTTCTGGAAGTGGCAGAGAAAGGGAGTTTTGAGAATTAAGATTTATCCAGCTGGATTTAATGAAGTACCTTCCTTATAGCAGGTTTTCTTATGTGGCTTTTCCACTGGGGCTGTTTGGTCATTTTGGATCCAAGTTTTGTGCGGTCTGCTATGTTATGGGGTTGTTGGTTGAGACTTTTGGTTTTGCCGGCATTTATATTATTTTGACTTGGTTCTCAAGTTGGGCTGTGCCTATTTGAAGAAAAAATAAATGGTGACTTTGGCTTTCAACCAAACCATCAGTCAGGAAGATACAGTATTCCACCTGTATCCACAGTTTTACTTTCTGTAACTTTGGCTACCAGTGATCAACTGTGGTCCAGAAACATTAAATGGAAAATTACAGAAATAAACATTTCATGCTTTATAGTGCACACTATTCTGAGAAGTAGACTGAAGTCTTGTACCATCCCACTCCATCCTGACTGGAATGTGAATTGTTCCCTTTTCCAGTGTATCCACATTGTATATGCTACCCACCCATTGGTGTTAATCACTTGGTAGCTATCTCAGTTATCAGATTGACTGCAAGTAACTCTTATTTCAAGTAAACCCAATTTGACTTCATAATATTCCTAAAGTGCAAGGGTAGTGATGCACAAGATCAGAGCATGGAACATGGAAAAATGGACTAACTCTGGTCCTATGAGTCAATGTTACAGGAAGTATAGGAAAAAAACACAGTGTATAGAGTTCAGTACTATCCACAGTTTTAGGCATCCACTAGGTATCTTGGAAGACTGCCCCCAGGGGATAAAGCAGGGGGCTACTGCACTTGATTGAGCTGGTGGTACCTGACACAGGCAATGTGCATGTACAAAAGGTAGAAAGAAGCAGCTCACTAAGACAAGAGGTGAGGCAGGCACAATGGTACATACCTGTAATCCCAGCTACTTGGGAGGCAGAAGGAGGTTGGCAAGTTCAATGCCAGCCTAGGCAACTTAGCAAGACTCTGTCTCAAAATAAAAAATAAAAAGGGCTGGAGATGTACCTCAATGGTAAAGCATCCCTGAGTTCAATCCTCAGTACAAAAATAAATAAATAAATAAGCAAACAAAAAGATTAAGAAAAAGTTGGCTATCTTTTCTAGTCTGAAGTATTGAATTCAGCTCATGTTTTTAGAAAGATTCTGGTTAGTTCTCACTTTCTGTTCAAAATTCCAGCTGGTTTGTAATCTAGAAAGCATCGGTGGAGCCGCTTCTCAGGATTATCTGTCCACAACTGTGATTATAAGTGTGCAATGATACATTTGCTTTAGAAGAGAACAGTTTCACATTGTGCAAATTTTGAAATGGCTTTTGCATGCGGACCTTGAGAGAGTCCTTGCACAGATTCCCCCAGGGTCTCCTGGTGTGAGGGAAAGAGAACTATAGACAGCATACCTGGGCTCAGTCCCAGCCAGCTCTGCCACTAAGGGTCACAGGCAGCTTGGACAAACCGCTTGCTCTGTGGGCCTCGGTTTGTTGTGTAGGATGAAAGGATGGGAAATGACTTCTAAGGCCCCTGCTGACTCCTGCATGCTATGATTCCATGAGGTTAGAAGGTTGGGCTCTGTCTTGAAGTTCCTGGCTCTCCCATGTGGGACGAGTGTTTTCCTTCTGGCTTTTCGTTTAGCTGTGGCTTGGCAGAGGCCGAGCGGCAGCCCTTGGGTGTGATACAGGAGGGGTCTGTGGTTTGGTGAGCAAAATAAAACATGGGCTTTTGAACTCCATGAGGTCAGGAGCATTTTCTTGGTCTTTTCTGTTTCTCTCTTGGTTTCTGTCTTTTATTTTTTAAAAATGTGTGTGTTTTTTTTTTCTTTCATGAGAACAGTCCTACCTGCCAAGACATAAACCTGGCTGCCTGGAGGCTGGGGCAGGGATTCTAACTTCTGGAAGGATTTGCAACAATGCATCCTAAAATTCAAAGTGCATAGGGCCACTTGAGGGTCTGATTCTGATTTGGTAGGTTTGGGGTGGTTTGGGGATTTGCATTTCCAGCAAGCTCCCAGGTGCCACTGCTGGCCTAGGGACCACACTTTACCAGAAAAGTTAGATGGTCCCCTAGAGCAGAACTTTTGGAATGAGGGCACTGTTACTATGCTTTTAAGTTCATCTTCAGCCCAGAATGAACCTACCGTGTCAGCTCTTAACACAAGGAACCCTGTCCCTGGAAGGCTGGCCTGTTACAATCCAGCTGGGAATTAGGCTTCATATAGGTTTTAGATTTTCCCTTCTGTCATCTGATACCTGAGTGGTATTATTTTTTTTCTCTCTCTCTTAACATTAGAAAAGAAAAAAATTGATCAGTGGGGTGAGGAAGAACGATGCCTCAATTAGTTAGAAAGCTACAGTGTGGAATTAAAGGAGCCCCATGCTCTGCTCATTAACCACATCCTATTACTTAGCCAGTCTAGAACTAGCATTTCAGCTAAATAAAGAAATGTGCATCATTTTAATATACCTTTCTTAATTGAGCTGCACTCCAGGGGCAACCTCCTAATGGTGTTATGGCACCAATTACCTCATTAGGAGACAAGAGTGGCTTTTATGACAGGTTTAGAAATTAAAACGGCAGAGAGACATCTTTCAGGAGCACTAATTCTGGACTGTGCTGTGTTAAGCACTGTGTGTGGACTGAAAGGACACCTGGGGGCTGAAGGCAGGTTGGTGGATCCTTGTCTGGTCTGACCCTGACTTGGGTGTGAGACCTAGACCCATTCTGCACGCTGTTTAGTGAAGAATGTTAATCCTGTGGCACCTGTACACCAGATCCTCTGGGGAGGCTTAACAGTTCAGGTTGTAGGGCCCCACCCTGAGATACTGACCCAGGAAGTGTGGACTAGGCTTTAGCCAAATGATACTTGAGATAAGGTCCCTGGGTAACTCCCATGCAGGAAGCTTAGCAATACTTCCAGAAACAGAGAGGTTCCCAACAGCTTCAACCAAGCCTCAGCTGCCTACATGCAGCTTCCTCCGTCTCTCAGGGTTTCATATTTCCAAAGAATTATCCAAATGAGAATTCTTAGGCTTGCTTCTTTAGATACAATCCAGCCAGCAGGGTGTGGTGGCACATACCTGTAATCCTAGGGATTCAGGAGGCTGAAGCAGGAGGATCACAAGTTCTAGACCAACTTCTGCAACTTATTGAGATCCTAAGCAAGTTAGCAAGACCCTGTGTCAAAATAAAAAACGAAAAGGACTGGGGATGGAACTCGGTGGTAAAGCACTTCTGGATTCAATCTCAGTGCCAAAATAAATAAATAAATAAACAAATAAATAGCTACTTTTTCCCTCTTCTTTCCTTGGCTGGCCTGTATTGGCTGGAGGATGTGGTCTTGGTGCAGGCAAATTGAGCTTGACTGTTCACTTGGATGCTTATATGCTGTGTGACATTGGGCAGGGCATTGTACCCTGGGGACTGCACTTTACTCAACTCAAAATGTGCATGATCATGTAGGAATCACAGAGCATGGGCACTTTCTTGGTCCGACACTTTGTCTTTTGTGCAACTCAGTTTCCTTAGCTGTGAAATGAGAATGTGACTTTTGCAGATGACCGGGGGTGAGTGGAAGTAGGAACTGGGCTTCTCTTTCCGGCAGCTTTTCATGCTTTCCCTCCCTACAGTAAAAAGAACTTCAACCTCCAGATTTTGTGTAAATATTGAATTTATAGCAATGGTTTCATAGAGTGTTCCAGTTTCCTGGGTTGATGATTAATGTGGTTTTGTCAGAGAGCATAATGCCTTTGCAAAAGGCATTCCTGCCAGTCCTGTGAGCTTCATGGAGGCTCAGTGTAGTTTTTGCTTTTCTCTGGGGTCACGTGGAAGAGGGAGCCGATGCATTCTGTGTCACCCATCAGGCAGAAGACGCATCAGCTGACAGATGCTGGAGGACAAGGAAATGAAATTTAGCTTCATCTCAGAAGGATTTCCTAATAATTAGAAGGGCCTCTGTGGTCCTACATCTTTTTTGGTGTTTACATTGCCTAGCACATCATGGCCAGACGTCTCTATCTGGCTTTCAGTGTCTTCATCATCTGGCTTTTGCAGGCCTTGGTAATCCTCTACCCTTTCCCTAGATAAATTGAATTGCGTGGCATTAACTCACTTTTGTGATGGTCACTCTCCAACCACATTTTCAATAGCCTTCAAAGCATCTCTCTCTCTGATGGACTCTTTTGTCAGTACCACAAATTCAGAATGTCCACAAGCTTGTCCCTCAACTTTCCCTTGACCTTGCTGCTCTCCCCATCTAGCTCATTTCTGTAGAAGCATCATCCAGGTTTAGGAAAAGAAAGATAGTGTGGAAGATCCCAAAACTTCTCATGCTATCATCTGATCTTTCTCTAGGACTCACTGCTTTGAAATACCTTGAAATTTAATAGTCATAAGAAACCTTCTGTAGTTCTTCCAGCCCATACTATTTTTTCTTCCTCCAAATCAGCAATAAAACCTAGAGAGGTTTTGTAGCTCATGGGTCTGGTTGAATTTCATATAAGTAGGAGAGAACAGTTTGTTAGTAACACACATGCAAATGGGGTTTGTAGGTAGCATGAACCAAGTATGAACCCATGGGGCATGGGTGCCAAAGAGGCTCACATAATTAGGCTTTAATTTTTTTAAACATGTAGCCTCTAGAATGGGTGAAGTTTTGTCCCAATCAACTTTGCACTGATTGAAACACACTTGAAGTGTTTCTTAACTTGCTAAATGATTATATGCATGTTACTTTTCTGAGGAGTTGGTGATGTAAAAAATCTCCACTATCATTTCATTTCTATTAATTTTTTCCCTGAATGTGTGGGAATCCTTGTTTATTTTTATTATGCATGATGTAGCACATAAAAAAGATTCATGATAGTTGTTTTCTTTCTGTGCTGCTCACTTTTGTCAATATTTTTCTAAATTTCACTGGAGTTTTCATTTTAAATTCTACTTTAGTGCAAAATATTGTGATCTTGATTTTTTTTTTATAAATTGTATCATGTGGTATAATTGCTAGTTTATCTTTACTTATTCTAATACTTTTCTTTCTTTCTTTGAGGTATGTCTTGAGATTACTTCTATATTTATTGTTCAAGTTACTATGTTAGTTTTTACTTTCATATGTATTATTAAAATCACTTCAGCCAAGATGCTTATGCTGTTTGATTTCTTCAAATATTTTCTTGCTCTTTACTGAAAATTGTTTTTTTTTCTTTGCTATGTCATTTGTATTTTATTTTTCTATTTGTGATATGGAAATTATAGATCCCATTTGAAAAATTCATTTGAACTTCCTTGAAAATTTAACAAATATATTAATGCTTAGTTTTCTATTATTGTTTTTTAATGTTACATACTGACTGCCTTCTTTTGTGGTGCTGGGGATTGAACCCAAGGCCTTATGCATGTGAGGTAAGCACTCTACCAACTGAGCTATACCCCCAGCCCATACTGACTGCCTTCTATGTTAAATAAGCATACTCTTATTTTCCTCTTCTTCCTTATTTAACTCAGTTTCCCATTTTATTGAATCTTGGATTATATACTCAAGTTTACTTTTCACCCCAGCATCTCTTTTAATGAAAACTTTTAAATATATAGAAAAGCTGGATTTTGTTGTAAACATTCATATACCCACCACCCACTCCCACCCTTGCCATTTTAGTATGCTTGTGTTATCTACTTTTCTATCCATGTTTTTTTAAAAAATGCATTTAAAAGTAAATTAAAGATAGTAGTATACTTGTCCTTAAATTTTTCAGCACAAACAGCATTAGAGTTTAGCAATTGCTTGCAACTTTTTTCCTTTGAGGTAAAATCTATAAATAATGAAATGCATAAATTATAAGTATATATTCATTTAATTTAAAAAAACCTTTTTAGTTATATATGGACATAATAGCTTCATTTTATTTATTTATTTTTATGTGGTGCTGAGGATTGAACTCAGTGCCTCATACTTGCTAGGCAAGTGCTCTACCACTGAACTACAACCCCAGCCTCCAAATTCATTGAATTTTGACAAAATATACCACCTACTATTTTTTTAACATTGTTTTCTTTCAAGAATTATTGTATTTAAAGACTCTTTCATATACATACTTTAAAAATTATTTTGACTTCTTTTAATTGAAGTCACCATGAGCTCTATTTTTATCAGAACATCCCCATTTTTCATTTTGATTTGTCCCTCAGTTGGCTACAGAATAATTTAAGTACTTTTTAAAGAAGGATATGAGTGGTGTACTTTCAGAATCTCTGAGTAGCTGACAGTTTTCTTATATTTCTTTAAACATGAATGACAACTTGGCTAAGTTTAGAATTCTTGACTAGCAGGCAACCTTTTGCCCTCAAACTGGTTGTTTCTCGATTGTCATCTGCTGTTTAATATTATAGGGCTATGAGCCTAGCCTGGTCTTTCAAGCTTTGTAGGCAAGCTGATTTTTTTCTGCCTAGATGCTATTTTTAATTTTTTACTTGAATTTGATACAGCAAGTATCCTGTTTGGACTGCCTTGAAAATTAAAAAAAAAATGTGAAGGCATATTTTCCTAATTATTGGATTTTTAAAAAATGCTACCTATTGACTTCTCCTATGTTAAGAAGTTAATACACTTTTATTTTCTTCTTCTGTATTTCACTCAGTTTTCCATTTTATGTAATCTTGGATTTTAGGCTTATATTGTTCTTGACTTATCTAGCTGTTGAAGTCTTTATAATTGTCCCAGGAACTCACTGAGATCTTCTGATTTGCAGATACACATTTTTATTCAGTTATGGAAGAAATGGGTAGTGGTTCTCCCACATCCATATTTTTTTTCTTAGTAACATAATTCTCAATTTTTATATAACTGCTTGGAATAACAATTGTATTTCTCAGCTTCCCTTAAAGTTAGTGTTGTGTCTGTCACAGGAAGGTGACCCTAATTGTTACAGATATATCAATTAGGAAAAGTTCTCTTCTTATATATATATATATATATACATATATATTTAATTTTTAGGCTTTAGTTATTCTGTTTCCCCTCCTCAGGTGCATCTCAAAGCTATGTTTTCTGTATCCTGTTCTTCAAACCTCCAACTTTTTCTCTAATTACTTCAATCCATGGCAGTTTTTCAAGTTTTTCTAATGCATTACTGATTTTGGTTGTTTCTAGGGCCCATTCTACTCTTCATTGCTTTGAATGAAGATTTTAATTTGCTATGACTCTTTTCACTTCCTTAACTCTTGCACATTTTTACCTTCTCTGAGCAGACCCCTTTTTATTGCTGACTTCATCTTTCTTCTCCTATATCATTTAATTTCCCCTTTTCTTGAATTTTCGTGAGAATATGCATCTGAATTTGCTAAGTCTTATAATATAAGATTTTGCTTCCTAAAAAAAATACTATCTTTCTCTGTATTCTGAAACCTTAGGTTTTCTGCCTTTTATCATCTCCATATCAATTTTATTTACCTAGAAAAAAAAATAAGAAAAGGTCTATCTAGGTCTGGCAGACAAATCTGTCAGGCAGATTTGGGAGGGACTGGTGCTCTCTGAACCATTCTCTACCAACAGTAAAGCTGCTGTACTGATATTCTGAGTTTCATTTTCTCTCTGCCTGCTATCTTTCCTAGGTTGAAGCTGTGTTGGGTTCCACCTCCCTTGGGATATGATATATTTTTCAAATGCTCCTGATCTGCAGTCCTGGCAAATCACCACCTTCTTACCTAACCCACCTGCACCTCTCCCTCTGGCCCTCCACATTTGGCAATGAGAAGGGGATGGTCATGCGTGGTGGTACTAAAATGGCAGTAGTGTTCTGCTACTTCCTTCCCAGACCCACTGCTATTTCTCAGGAAGAAGATCTGCCTACAGAGTTTGCCTTTACATGGTCCCTTCTGAAACGTATTGAATAGGATGTCACCAGATGTCACCACGTGGAAAGCACACTTGCTGAGGTCCCAGTGTTACTTTAATCCTTGTTCTCCTTCTTTAAAAAAATATCCTTTTATCTTATTCTTCCCTGGAGAATTTCATTAACATAGAGAAGAAATCTCTTCTCCCAATGCCTTTTTACCCAGAAGTCTGAACAAGGCATCCTTGAAGACTTTTTGCATTGTGAGAGTAGATCATATGCCATAAATTCATTAAAAGCAACCTGAGCCTTTGTG